GCACATACTCCCAAAGTTTCAGTCTTCTAGCTTTTCTGGTTCTCGAGTTGAAAGTGGGTGACAAAACAGACACACACACACACAGACACACAAACACACACAGCCTCTTCTCAATATGCATAAAAATGCGGAATTTAAAACACATTTTTTATCCTTCCACTGAACCGTATTTCAAAAATGCTAGGATCGACAACAGGGGCTGGCCACCAGGCGAATCACACAGGCTGAAGCAGTTTAAAAAGGTGCAGCCACACAAGTGAAAAATTTCTACTCTTTTTGGGAAGCGGAAACAATCGGGGTAGTCGGACCAGTAGCACGAGCCAACAAAATGAGGATTTTCTCTTTCCAGAACTGCTTTAAAAGAATGATGGCGGACTTGACTTATTAACGTGTACCAGTACCGTCGAAACAGGTCGTAGAGGAATCGATCGTTCAATAGTGGATCCAGTGTGTGTCCTTTAGTATGAGAGTGTCGTTATTTGGCACAGCGCCATGTTCACCAACGAACTGAAGATTAAAATGGATGCGCGTTGTGAATCGATTTGCTTAATTAAAATGAGGGAAGTTGGAGGGATGAAACTAATTTTGTTCAGATGGAGGAGGATACAGTAATGATTTTCGACATCGGAAATCCGGAAAGCTGCAAAGCGCTGTGGAAGAGCTGCATCGAGCACCATACGTTTTTTCGCCTGATTGCTCCACCGGCTGCACCACCGAAATCAATCTTTAACATTGGCAGTCGTTTTCGGTACAGGTTAGTTGTGACACATTTGCATCCTTGCTGTTCCGGTTGTTCAAGCACAAATTCGACTAATTTGAAGCGCTGGACAACTAGAATCTATGTTTTTTTTTTTTTTTTTGACCGAAAGGTAATTCGGAAATGATGACACATATGTCAATACCAAGACTGTTCAGACAGTCGGTGTAAGGGTCCTATATTAGTGGTGTTACTGGAAAGTTGCCAAACGCCAAACGTGGATATGTCAGGCCCTTCAATTTTGAACTGCATACGTTTAGTTATACCTATCGCCCGCTCTCTGTACTTGTATCGGTCGTTTAGCTTGTTACAGATACTACTTTTACTAGCAGACATCCCATACCACGGGATGTCCAACACAGTGAGCTACATTCTCACACCGTTTTTGTGCGTTTTTTGCTCCAGTAACTATACAAGACACATATTGTCGAAAACATATCTGTGTGAATGCGTTTTATCCGGGGTTTTCAACCCCAGAACCAGAGCATGATCACACCAGCTACCCTTATGTGTGCCGCTATTTATTTCTGCTACGCTAAGCAAAAACACATACTATCGGAAGGCATGCGGTGCGCGCGTGTGTGAACAAGTAAGCTTTATCACCCACTTTCAACTCAGCAACTGGTGAAGCTGTGAGGCTGAAATTTTACAGACGTACTCCCAGCATTCGTATCATTCCATTCTTACATCCTAAAATCGTAGCACACGTATGTTTGGATCTCGATTACGGGCACCGAAATGAAAAATGAAGATTTTGTGATGGGAAAGCGATTTCGAGAGCCAGACAAGCTGGAAAACTGTTCCCTGCCTTTGTTCCCTATCCGTGTGTGAGCTGAGGTTATCGCGCACGCCCATGCCACACACACAGTCACGTCAAATTTCGCGTTTGGCAGTATGCCAACTCTAAAACTATTGAAAAAATGTAGCCGAAGATTTGTCAGGATATATCGTCCATCCGAAAAATCGTAAGTCGAAAACGAGTTTCATTTTGCAGTTGCGCTACGACTTGGGGCACTTCAAAAGTATTTGTAGCGAGATGATTATTTTGCATCCAGTCAAACTGCGAAACTGTGACTTTGCAAGAATATTCTACATTCAGATGCGATCTAAATACCGCTTGGAAGCTAAATTTTCTGCGCAAGGACATGAGAAATACTCAATTTTATTACAAAACACAAAAGCGAACGCGTTTTGCGACTTCCCTAATCCTATTCTGATATCCTGCCAAATCTGCATTTGTCAGTGAACGACCGCCTACCGAAAAAACGCCGGTCTTTATGCAAAATTGATGATCATCATGCACGCCCAAGGTCTACGCGGCCCTATAATGTAACACCACCATCTCATCTAGCGCCTTTTTCCCTTTACATAGAAGAGGACGTTGGAAGACACAGGCAACATATGTACACGTCTTAAACTGTAACTCAAAGACTGTTGATGCTGTTAACGATCTGTCTGCTGCAAGTTTGGCGGAAAAACGCATGATTGCACCGACCAGCGGTGCATAGCAACTGGGCCTTTTTTCTGGCGTTCTGCACATAATTCATCTAACGAAGAGTTTGACAGCTTATTTTTCAAAAGTGATCGCATTTCGCGTTTGCAAGTCACTGCCATCAAACAGTCGAATAGAAAAGGTGAATACGGCCCTCCGGTTCCAAACTGTGAAGGCATCGGCGGTGTTCTGAAGCTTAACTGTCTTCGTTAGCCCTTCTGCTTGGTTTCGTCCTCGTTTTGCTTGCTGAAGGAACTTGTTAACGAGGCACTTGTAGTTTTTGTCAACATTCATCATACTGGTTTGCTTGTTTTCTTTTGACCTTTCGCTTCGTCTTCTTCCAATTTCGGGAGCGGAATATGTCACCTCAAAAACTGTTTGTCTTAGATCCTAGTTTTAGATAGTGCGCTATAGTCAAATAAATTTAATCTTTGGACATTTTCCATTTTGCTTCTTTGACTTATTACAAGAGAGTTTTTTCCTTCGGTGTCTTTCGGATTCATTGTGTCGTCAGTGCCTTTTTACCGAATCGAACAGTCAGAATTTCCTACAAAATTTGTTAGCTTTTTGAGTTTTCTTTAAAATCTTGTAGAGTTACTGCCGCAACTGTGCATCATTTGCTGAAGCAGCATCTATAAATTTAGCATGTATTTGTGTGTATACAAAGGGTGTGCGTAGGTATGCTTGTGTGGTCGTGTGCATAAAGGTGTGTCCATCTCTTTGATTGACCAAAGATTAGGAGTGGAGCAGAAAATTGTGTATTACTATGAATGTTACCACAGCTGCTACCATAGTATTACTGTTACCACTGCTTCTAAAGTTGAAATTGCGCTACAGTTTTTTCTTTTTTTCGGTAAACATGGGTAGGTGTTTGCTGCTGTTACTATTCACAACCTTTTGCACATCTCCCTTTCATGATCATTGCCGTAATAATTATTGTCATAATTATGGTCGTAACTATAGCCATGATTGTCACAATTGTAGTTAGGACTGAAATTATTATTTCTATTATCATATTCAGACACCAGTAGTCTGCGCATTTTTTTAGAAATGCAGGGACTTAGCTGCTTCTCCAATTATTTTCTGATTCGGACTGTTTCTTCGATACGGTCGTGGACAGGACGTTATGCAACGCCTGGGCATATATGGAACAAGAAACAAAGGCTGGAACGCACCAGGCGAGCCGGTGCGATCATGCGTTTTTGCATCAAAACTAA